TTCTCGTGTTGGATTAAACCGTTTACTGAACCGGTGCCATGAATATTGTGTGATTAACAGATTGAAGTTGAATTATGAACAATCAAAGGTATTAGTCGTTCCCTATTCCCAAAAATCTTATGTGGATTATTAATGGCAACAAACTTGAACAGGTTAAGCACTTCAAATATCTGGGCATCTGTTTCTAATCTAATGCTACTTGGACCTACCGTCGCAGAATGGCTATTAATGTAGCTAAAGTTAGTAAAGGAAGTAGTCAAAAAGTTTTCACATCCCTGCAGAGAAAGCGGAAGGCCTCTTAGCGGAGGGAGCATTTGAAGGACCCAGTGTGATTCCGCTCTGGTGGCATCGGGGTGCAAAATATTTTGTGATCAGTGGGAAGGAAGAAACGTGGTGCAAAATGCTTCTTGTTAAAGGGTGGCAGCTGAGGCTTGTAAATCAAGGAACTGATGGATCGTGGCGAGAAATGTTGCAAGCTACACTCCAGGGTTTCCTCCACCACCTGCTTTGATCATCTTCATAGATAACACTAGGAATGCCTTTTGGTTAGAATGCGTCATGTGTTGATAACGGAGGGGACGGCGGTTGAATCTTTTTTCATTCCATTTAGTGGTGTGGATGCCTACTGCACGTTTCCGTTCCTTAGCTATTACTGACTGTCCAAGTTCCTCGTTCAGAAGTTTAGAAACTGTTGAGCACGTACTCTTACACTGTAAATTGTTAAATGACATTCGAGTGGAATTTATAGAAGCCCCCCTTAGGTTGGTAGCAGGCCAATCGGATAGAATCAAGGTACAATTTCTCCTTGCTTCACGAGATCCGGAGATCATTGAACTGACCGCTAAGTTTCTCCATGGTTTTATAAAACGGAAGAGTGACCCTGACCATATTAATGATTCTTAATTTATAAGTCTAAAAACTTAAGTTTAAAAGTTTAGAATGCCAATTTATTTTATGATTCAGGCATCTTTTGTATGGTCAAATCTAGCTTGTGACAACTTGAGTTAGGCCTGACATAGCCATGACTATCTATTTTATAATTTCTTTTGGGTTGTATTATTGGTAAATGCTTCTAATATTGTATGCCAATAAAAGGTATTTGAATTGAATTGACTTAAAAGGGGTGGAAGGAGAGTAAAGCAACTGCTCCCTGGAGGGCACACCATTCATGTTCATTGCAGCACATGTCTGGCTTGAATCTGGTGAGATGGGCCAAGGGAACTGAGGAATGTTGACCTCGATCTGTCTCTTGCCAATGTAAGTGACCCTCCCACACACAAACACACACTATGAAATGAGCTAGCTTTGTTCCCAGACTCACTCTTCTGTCTGTGGGCCGGACTGGTCTGGCCAAGCTTTGACTGGAGACTGGTATGGAGATAGTACTTGAAGTTCATCCACACTGACTGGAGACTGGTATGGAGATGGTACTCGAAGCTCTTCTACATTGTCTTCCTGAGAGTACAGCTTCTTTCTAAAGTGGAGAAAGAATTGCAGAAATTGTATGGTTTATTTACTTATTTAATATATTGATATACCTTTTTTTGCATGATCAGACTTTTTTTTCCTGTTGAGCACACAGGAATAAGCATTCTCTCTCTCTTTTCAGAAAAGTAAGTAGAAAACAGACAGTAAACATTTTCCTGGGAGTAAACTGTTGGAAAATTTGGTAAAATAGTTAAATATTCAGAGGTTGCAATGGATCTTTGTTCACTGGAGAGGAGGCATTTTCTTTCTATGTAAAAATCTTTATTTCTAAAGGGAAAGGTACACAGGAAATCTACAAAACAACAAACAAGACTACATGCTTGCAACAGCAGTTGTTGTTGTTGTTCAGTCGCACAGTCGAGTCCGACTCTTCGCGACCCCATGGACCAGCTCCCGCCAGGCCCTCCGGTCTTCCACCGTCCTCTGAAGTTGGCTCAACTTCATGTTCGTTGCATCAATGACACTGTCTAACCATCTCATCCTTTGCCGTCCCCGTCTTCTTTGACCTTCAATCTTTCCCAGCATCAGGGTCTTTTCCAGTGAGTGCTCCCTTCTCATTTGGTGGCCAAAGTATTTGAGCTTCAGTTTCATTATCTGGCCTTCCAGGGAACAGTCAGGGTTGATTTCTTTGAGGATTGACTGATTTGTTCTTCTTGCAGTCCAAGGGACTCTCAAGAGTCTCCTCCAGCACCATAGTTCAAAAGAATCTATTCTTCGGCGCTCGGCCTTCCTTATAGTCCAACTCTCACAGCCATACATGACTACTGGGAATACCATTGCTTTGACCATGCGGACTTTTGTTGGCAGGGTGATGTCTCTACTTTTTATCATGCTGTT